GAACCTGGAACTTATGCAGAGTGAAATACGCCAGGCAAATAAAACAAATACTGCATGATTTCACTTGTATGTGGAATCTAAAAAGTCACACTCACTGAAGCCAAGTGGACCTAGATTCGGGAGGGGGACATGTTGAAGGTGTTGGTCAAAGGTTACAAAGTTTCCATTAGGGTAAATACATTTTGGGGATCCATTAGAAAATGTGCTGATACACTGCACACTTGAAATTGCTAAAATAATAAATCTGAAATGTTTACACCACAAAATAAATGAGGTCATTTGTTATTAGATTTAATCATCTCAACATATACACATATTAAAACATCAAATTATAGAGTAAAATAGATATAATTCTAATTTGTCAATTATACCTTAATAAAGCTAGGAGAGGAAAAAGTGATGAGCTCCAGAGAAAACAGAGTTAAGAACAGAAATGAAAGGGTACAGAAAAATTCTAGTAATTTAGGGGCTTTCAAGATCAGGAAAAATGAAAGTCAACTGCTTCTGAGCCCAACCTTAAAGCCAACAGCTTTAATGTTTAGACAGAATCAGATTTTGAGCAAAAAGGCCTATTCAGACTTTTTAATTAAACAGAAGGACTAACTCTTAACACAAAGATCTGATTAAGGGGGTTCTTCCTGTCCAAGCCTGGCTCGGATGGCCTCAAGGTAAATGCCAGCACCCAGTGGAATACAGAGCCTGAGAAGTGTGTGAGGAGCTAAAAGAGGGTTAAGACTACTAGAAACAAACCCAGTAATATCCCACATGTATTTTACATTTTTGCCTAAAGCCAGTAAATTTTTCAGTTCTCCTAAAATGGCTTGCTTTCTCTTTCAAAGAGTGTAAGGGCTCAGTTTTGAAAATTCTTGGAAAATTTGTTTCTGAGAAATATTTCAGGAGTAATGGAGAAAGAAGAGGAAATAACATGCATTTGAGTGTCCAACAGTGAGAGGAATGTGCAAAGGGGGACAGAGAGAGAGGCAGATGGAATGGCATGTTTTTGTTTTTCAAAGAGCTTTGTAGAACCTGTTTTATGGGAATAAAAATTCTGTTCAATTTATAAACTGCACCTAACCCAGCTGCCATGACCTACACAGCTCAGGGTCTGAAGGTGGGGAGAGCTGTGGGACATTAAGAAACTGAAAAACAACAAGGAGGATACATACCAAGATTACGCTTGAAAGCTGGAACTAGGTGGAATCATAGCCTGTCAAGAGCTAACCACCACTTGGGGTCCAGCGCACTCTTTATTTATGGTATAAGACAAACAGGAAGCAAAGGTGGGGTAACTAAGTGCTACATGGCCTACGTGGCCTAGGCTGAATGTAGCGTGACTGTCTCGTGATCAGGGCATGTGCAGAAAGGGAACAAGGAAGATGGTACATAATGTAACTGTCTCCTGGGGCTGTGCCATCCAGGGCCTACAGTCTTAGTCAAACAGACTAGGGTATGGAGGAGAAAGGGAGTAGGGAGGAGGCAAAGGACCACGTTCAGGCTCGGCCCTAGGCACCCAGTCATATAGCAAATACAAAAAACCTTTGAAATTGGAATCCACTATACAAATGCAAATGGATTTATTATTTTTATGGCCAAATGAAACAGATCCAGTAAAAATCAGATATCTAAGAAGGCTAAGGTTAAATGAGATCAGAAGGGTGGAGCATTAATTTTGTAAAACTAGTACCTTTGTAAGAACAGACCCACATAACACAATCTCTACCATCTGAGCACAAAGAGAAAAGCTAGAAAGAGAGGCCTTATCAGACACTGTAATGATCTTGGAATTCTCCAATTCCAGAAATGTAAGAAAATAAATTTCTGTTCCTTTAGCTACCTAGTCTATAGTCTTTATTATGGTAGCCTAAAATGAGTGAAATAGATAATACGCTAATTTGATTTAATCAAGTCACAACATTTTGATAGCAAGCATATATATTACTCTTTTCTACATCTACATCTTATATATACTTACATAACTTTACAATATTTTGAAAAAAAATCAATGTACCATATTCTCCTAAATCTAGTTTAAGGAGAAATGAGAGGTCAACAACATATCCGTACTTCAATAGAATACTCGAGCATGACTAGTTTAGAAAACATTAAATGGTTGCACTTACTTAGATACATAGGTTTCGAATTTAAAATGTAAAAAGTTTATAAGTTATTCCATACAGAAAGCCAGGAAAATAACAGGCTTATACCTCTTGATGGTTTAACATTCTTAATATAGTATTTATACTATAATTGTATAATATATGATGTATGTTAAAAGAATGAAAATGTGTTATACCTAGACTTAATCTCTAGGTTCTAATAATTATCAATGTTTCTCACCTTCATGTCTGCTGAGACAGTTGAAAGCCATATGCCACATGAGACAATTCTTCACTGTTTGGAATTTCTTGCTCTTTATAGAAAATGTATCCTCGCAGCTTATTAGTTATCACTTCCCCTAAATAACCGTAAGGACATGTCTGGAAATGTCTAGAATGCCACTTAGAGAATGATGGAATCCCCACTGAGACTCAATGTATTAAATGATGCCTATTACACACAAGACATATGGAGCTACACATGGGAGTAAATGAGTCAGTGATCCAGGGTGGAGTAATAGTAGAAGAGAAATGAGATAAAGTCTAGGAGTATCTGTGAGAACAGCTGATTATTATGCACCTGGGGGAAAGAGTATTGAGCTTTGCAAAAAGAACAGATAAAAATCAAAAAACTATAAATATTAGAAAAGGAAAAGCAGTCAAGATAGAAAGTAAGAATTCTAGGGAATCATTATCCTTGAATATATAGCCTCCTTCCAAATCAGACAAGTACAGTACTTTCTCTTTTCTCCTAGGACACCATACTTATTCCAAATTTCATGTTGTTTTCCTTTTTAAGACAATCCTGTCTCTCTTGTCTCATAAATGTTTCTCCAGGGAACTCAGGCAAAGTCTCACTTTTCCATAAAATTTTCAGTAAGTATTCCCAAATTCATGGCTCTTTTCCTGGTACAATTCCTATAGGGTTCTACTACCTGAGAATTTATTAACCAACTACTGTGTGCCTGTAAGAAAGTAATCCTTTTTTCTTTCAATGCTGAAAGTAGTCCTATGAAAAATCTACATTTCAGATATAAAAACAACATGTGATCTTACCCACCATGCACTGCCTTCCAAGAGAAATCCTAAAATTAATGAATCCAGGGGTAGAAGTGGAAAGGAATTAAAGGTGGACTAAAGTACAGTTCTTGGCAGAATGGATTTGGAAAAGAGGACACTTCATACCTATCTTTGAGGGAGCCAACTAATGTACAGATGGGTTGTAGTTACATTAGGATAAACACTAATGTCCTATAAACTTTATCTATTTCTCTTTATATTTGATTTATTTCTTTTTTCTTAACAATCCACTGATACAATGCATATATATTAGGAACACATACTATTTGTGAAGGTCATAGCAATTATTAATTAGCAAGATCAATAAGGTCCTTGCTCTTCGAGCACTGACAGATTAGTTAAGAGGAAAACTTCAAACAAAGATACAAAAATATATGTAGTTATAAATTGCAGTGTATTATCTGAAGGAAATAGACAAAGTAGGGTTTGTCTCTTAGATAAAACAACTAAGGAAGCCTCCCTGGTTACATCCAGGACATTTAACACTATTTATTTTTATGGTGATGTGTGTGTATCCACACAAACACACACACACACCACATTCAATATGACTGTATAAATTCTACATAACGGGCCTGGACTAGGTGACTTATGCCAGACCCATACTTCTCTAGAGATAGCCTTAAACAGGGCATAATGCTATGCCAATGTTATACAGGAACAGCCCTTTTTCTATGCTAGAACTCAAGTGAAAATCCTTGGCTGGTGGAAAAGAGCTGCATAAGAATCACTGACAAACTTGTTAAAAATAGAAAACTCCACTTACCTTTCTCAACAATTTCACTTTAGTAAGCCTGAAATTAATTGTCATAAATGTTTTACCTGGTAGATTTGTTTATAAATGTTCTGAAACAGGTAGATTTGGGCCCTCATCACACAGTGACACAGCGTTTTGAGTCACTAACTGTCCCAGATTTCTTTTATCACAGTTAAAGCATAGCAAAGTTCTATTTATTCAGGACCAATAAGTGCAAAAGAAATTTTCAGGTAAATAAACACAAATGTTAAAAGGAAGGCTATGTTTTTGTATTGTTTTGTTTTCTTAAGTATGATGACACTCATTAGTATGAAGTTTTCACTTTGGGAAAAAAAAACTCTCCTAGGAAGTATTTCTCATAAAGTAGGACATGGCCTTAGAGTGCTATAATTAGATAATTTAATACGGTACCCCAAATGATTTTAGACGATACACAAAATTACTTCACATGACACATGGACAAATACTAACCTGCACCACAGGAAAAAAATTAATATCTTTTTCACTCTCCATCAATCAGAAGTTCTCAGTTACCTATCAGTATATCTCTTATACCTTATTTGTCATATTTTAAGAAATAGAGACCATGCCTGACAGCAAAAACCAGTATCAAGCCAGATTTTAGTAATGCACTTTTAAGACTGTTCTGCACATATAGCATTTTATACTGATTAGAAGAATAAAGAGAAAGTAAGTTAAACAAAATAGTATAATGAATGCAGGTACTGCAAAAGTTATGGGAATACTGTATGAATGACTGAGATTTGGAAATACTATTTTGTCAGATATTACTAGAAATAACAACTAATATCTCTTTCTCACACACTTACAAACATATTCAATAATCAATCCAAATTAATAATAAAAAAACCACAAAATATTTGTAGGAGACATTCACACCTACTGTACCATTTGACATAGCTTCCAAAATAGTGGTTTCGATAATGGGATAATTACTGGTTTGTGGTTTTTTTGGTTTTTGGGTTTTTTTTTTTTTTTACTAGATGAATCTTATGCTTTTGTCTGAAATCCAGAATAATTATCATTCCATAATTTATTCTACATACCTTATAATCCTTAGGTCGGTAGCAGCCAAGATGTGAATGATCTGCTAAAGAATGTACAAAAGAATTACAGTATAAATGTCATACCAAAAGAGAGAAAATTTGGTATCATCTTATGATTTTTGCTACTATAATTATTGTTTCTATAATTATAATTTACATAGCAGGTTTTAGAAATACTTTAAAATCCTTCAACAATGTTGCACGCACAAAGACAATCAGCCAACAAGTTAAGATTGATATCAATTCTTCAGTAATGAAGTGATTTCACAAATGCTATATTCAGTAGAGTAAAGGTATTTTAATATAGTCAGGAATAATTTTTACTTAAAAAACTAATTTGGGTAAGTTTTTGCTGATAAACCAATCTCTAATGAAACAATATCTGAATTGGTAGACTTAATAGATATTGTCAAACAGCATGTGTTCTCATTGTTGGGAGTCTGTGTGAGAATCACCAATACAGGACTAGCTCCAGATGGTGGTAGCATAATACACTGTACAGTGTGGACAAACAGATCTGCATAGTATGCTCAAGGCCCTCACACTGACCATATGAACTTGGAAATTAACTTGTAAGTCAAGATTCCTAATCTGTCTGATACCTCTCTTTCATATATAGTTTTAAAGATCATGTTAGAGAAACTGAGTAGATATTAGCTACTATAAAATTAAAGGCACTAAAATAAATGTCAGCTGTTGTTGCTAATACATCAATAACATCACTAATACCAAATTCTAACTCAAAAATGCTCAGTTTTCAATTCTATCACTAGATATATTTCATTATATAGTTAATCTATATTTTGTCTCTTATTTTAAGACTATGAAAACAATGCTTACCCTACCTCATAGTCAAGTATATTATAGTTAATACTATAATATTTATAGTAAAAAGTCAGAATAACTTACAATTTTCCTTCTGCATTTACGAATTCTGGTCAAAACGCTGTAAGATTCTATATTTTACTTTTCCAAACAATATTATCCAGAAAAAAATAATTATATTGACAGACAGCTACGATGGTCAGAATTCAGTAAAGAATTTTAGCTTTTTTATGGCCTAAGATGTTTGTTTTCTAGGTGGCCTGAGCCATCCTAAAAGTCAGCTGAAATATGAGTGTCTTTCACACAGGCCAACTTCTCCATTTAATGTCAACAAGAGTCAGTTTACTTCTATTGCTTTTCAAAATTAAAAATAAAATAACTCCAGTCCACTGCTTCTCTTCTCTACAAATCCAGCATATAAAACTAAAGCACTAACGTAGCTGAAGAAATAAAATAATAATGAGAACACAGGGAGCCTAATTCTCCAAAAATGCTAACTTTGAAGATTGAGATAAGAAATCTGCAAGTGTCATCTATTAAAATCTGGAATTGTTATATATTCTCTGGAAGCTAGTGCTACATTAAAAATTTCAATATGTTAAAGCACTGATATGTCTTTTGCATTCTACAGACTACTTATAAACATAGCCTAACTTGAACATGTTTATGATTTTTCTTTTGTTTTTACAAATTAAGCTATTACTTTTATCCGAGGTCTTAATGTTCACATTTAATCATTCTCACCAATGAGGAACCAACTAAATTTAAAGGCAGGAGACAATGGAAATAACAGTCATGTCCCACGGCCATGAAGTAGTTATAATCTATTTTGGTTAAGTTATACAAAGTTGAATAACATCAATAAAACAAGTCAAAATGGCACAATTAATATTTAAAAAGGTGTATTAGAGGGCAATCTCTCAGAGCTGAAGGCAATCAGAAGAGGTTTAAAAAGATGGGATAACTTGAGCTGGGCATACATTTGTCTTACTTAAGAAAAATTTTAAGACAAAGAAACAGCTAACCAGATTTGTGTATGTGATCTTGGACCACTTTAATTCTCAGAGGTCCCTTTACCCAAAAGATGGAGATAATCTCTAAGCTTTATAGGCAGGGTGTAATACAAGGAAATTACTTAGAGCAGCACCTAGCATAAAAAAATTCTAGCTGTTGTTTCATTCTCCAATAATCTCATGAAACAGATGTTAGGGCTAAATATTGTGCCTCCACCCAAAGATTTACATTTAATAACAATTGAGGATGGAACTTTTGGGAGGAAATTAGGGCTAAGATGAAGTCATAAAAATGCTCCCTCGTCATGGGACAATGCCTTTACCAGAAGAGGTCATGTGAGTACAATGTAACGTAGTACACACCTACAAACCAAGAGAGGAAACCTCAGAATAAAACCTACCTTGTCGGCACTTTCATCTTGGATTTCCAAGTATTTAAAAATAAAAGAAAATAAATGTCTGCTGTTCAATCCACCCAGTCTATGATATTTTGTTATGGCAGCCTGAGAAGACTAATATAATAGGTGGAACTGATTAATATTTCTAGTCTACATTTCAAAGGACTGACATCCTATTTAACTAATGAATGACTGAATTGAGATCTTTGGCGAGTTCAGTAGTAGTTAATATCAGGATAATCGAACATTTCCTTATTATAAAACGAAAGTGTACAGGACAATGAGGTTAGTCTCTAAAACGACATCAATTTATAGAATTGTTAAACAATCAGATGTGATATATAATCAAAAGAATCAAATGCTAAGGAGTGGCTAACAACATTGATTCAAATACAAACAATAATCAATCATGACAACATTTCCTTAGCAATCATCTATAAGGAACTAAGAGCCACTTTCTCCTAAAGGACCACTCACGCTAGGGCTGGTCGTGTAGCACAGAGCACTTCTGCAGCCCTCTTTCCATTAGTAGACCCTCACTCACACACTCAGTGATGCTTCTTTCCCTGTGCACCAATCCTGACTTTAAGCAGGGCTTTAAGGAATTTTAATCTAAAACTCAGCATCCTCGTAGTCTTCTATCGAAGTAATTCTTGAGACCCTTTCTGACAGTCAGAGCTAAAGTACATTTCCTGTGTGTCAGTCTCTATTCTGGCACCTTTCCTGGCACTCTGCTGTGAAAGGTACCACTTTTTTCTTTTTCATAACTTTAAGAAACTGAATGCTGCTCTGTTAGGTTGGGCTACTACCTACCTCAAAAATTCCCAATTCTTTCCAACATTGTTTCCCAAAATTCCCTTTTCAACCTAACACACATTAAGATGAGAAAAGGGTTTCCTAGACATACGATCTTAGAAAATTTTGAGAACAAAATTAGTCAAATTACTTTTTACCAGAAAGTATCACAATCTTTAACATACTAAAATGCATTAAGAATCTCAAAGAAGGATATGGTGAGATGCAACATACACATCTGTTATTTTTAGGGAGCACCTATGTGGGTGTCTCATGCATTGTGAAAACAATACCATCTTGTCAAACAGTATGGCAAAGATTCTGTTTTCACTAATTGATTAATATAGCTGAAGTTTCAACTATAGTTCAGGAAACTAAATAACAGAGAAAGATAATGTCAAGCTCACCATTGTGCATCCTGGACCACCCATCTCTTTCACAGTCTCTGCCACAAGGTCCAAAGCAAGTGTCAGCCCTGGGACTTGGGGGATCAACCTAGAAGAAGCAGGATTTTCAATATAAAAAAGAGCCTAGTGGGTTCTTGTCTTTCACACTTGTGACACCAGGAAACTAACCAGAGTGTGTATACCACATAACAAGTTGATGGGGCCTCTACACATCAGGTATGCTCCAAAGTCAGGGTTTAGTTAACTATTTTCCTAGTTATTTTTCAACAAAATTGAAATTAAATTCCATATGTGTGTGTGTGTGTGTGTGTGTGTGTGTGTGTGTGTGTGTG